AGGCTATTCTTTACCTATTTCATCTATTTTACCCACAAATGTTTACAAAAAGTCTATTAAAAATATCTGCATCCTCTCAATCATGTTTGTGAACTAACTTACCTTAATAGATAGGCGTTATCTCCTTATATCATTTGATATCAATTGGCTTTTTAACACAAATATTTTATGTATAAATTGGTTTCAAAATTTAGAGTCACAACTTTTATCTTACATCTTCTTTAGAAATATAATGATAACTTATCTACTACACTCATTGATTTGTGACCTACTTTTAACAATAATTTAATTAAAAGAAAATTATAATAATAATCCCACTTTTGTGGTTATTTGGTCTAACTAATTTTAACTTATATAATTAGAAAAGTCTGAGCTATCAATAATGACATAATATATGTATAATATTATATAGTCACGTATAACTCAATTTTAAAATGGATGTTAATTCATATAACAGATGTAACTTTTTTAATCTTACAACAATTTCACAAATATTCAAAAAAATTTTCACAGTTTCTATGCTTTGAATTTCCAGTTCAATTTTATATAAAAATTAAAATCCAATACAATAAATATATAGAATAGAAATCCAGTCTTTCTGATCTTATGCTATGGGAGGTTATGTTTTTTAAACTAACTAATCCTTACCAATACTTATCAAGGCCTATACCAGATCTAACCATTTTGCTCTTTGATGTTTATTTAATTAAATTATTTGACATTCATAAATCTAACTTTACTTCTGTTGCTTCTCTTCAATTTTATACAAATGGTTCTCTCATCTTCTTAGGTTTCTCAAACTGCTAGTTGAGTATTACGTAGTTATAAACTGATTCAAATTGGCTAACACTTTCTTTCAACGCTATTCTTTTATCATCAAATCATTCTTCCACTTTTGCTAAAATTGTTACTATATTAGCTGCAATGTATGCTTCACCTCCTAATTCTATTATTAAAATCTGTACTGATTTACAAGCTGCTATCTCCTCTTTTTATAAACTTTCCTTCCTTTTTTATGATTTCTTATCTATTAATCCTGCTTTCAAATACCATATTTTTATATTTGGTCAATATTATTTAGCCTTATTGCACAAAATAACATTTTCATTTTGTTTACTAAAGTACAAGCTCACAGTGATGATCCTATCCTCTTAATAATACTGTTGACAAATTAGCAAAACAAATCCCTGTTCAACCATTATCCATCAACAAAGAACATCTAGATCTAGACTACTATTTCTGCCACAACTCCATTCCAATTATAGCTTCTCATTATCTCTTTATTAAAAACAAAATCCAAGCTATCTAAGCAGACTCCCTACTCTCACTTTCTCATCTAAGCAAAAATATTATGATAAACCTATAGATTAGTCTCTTCTCTTCAAGATTCTGAATGACAAAAAGTCTTCTCGTAAAACATCCTTTATAGGCTGTTTCAAAAAGAAATTTAAAATTAAAATGTTGCTTCAAATGCTTTCTACTTTAAAAGTAGTTTATTCTCAAATCCCTAACATATATACCTTACCATGATGTTTTTAGTATCACTCTCAAAATGAAGACTTTGAGCACCTATGGCTATGTTCTAATAATGAACTAAACATTCAAATTTAATTGCTTTACATAAATTAATATTTATCACTTAACTTAAAGAATTAAATACTTTTAAAGATGATTCACTTATTCAAGAAATATCATCAGATTCTATCTGGAATTCATCACCTATCTCAACTGATTTTTGGTTTCTTGACTTACTTAAAGGTATTATACCTCTATTTCTATCAGATAAAGTAATAGCTTGCTTGTCTACTAAAAGTTTATTGCACAGCCTTTTATCTTCACTTTATCATGACATTTCCACATCTTGTTATGAAATAAAAACAAAAAGAAACGCTGCTCTTAATGAATGGAAAATTGCTAATAATATTGAAGAAAATTATACTATCCCTTGGGTCTTCTCAGATTTTCCATACTTCTTTCCTCTTCTTTTAACATCAAATCTTGCATCCTTTATAGCTGCTATTACATATAGCTTTTATTGGTCAAATTTTTAGAATAGCAATAATTACACCCTTCCTTTTAGATGTTTGATAACTGTATAATAGTTTAGTTTAGTTTAAGTTTCTTTTCTATTTTCTTCTTATAGTTTAATTTGGTAAAGTGTAAAGTTTGTATTGATAAAGTAATTAAGCTTATAAATTAATTTATAGATATTTATGTATTTTTTATTCTATTATATGTACTTAGTATTATATAAATTTAATTAAGATCATATAAAACTGCTGCACTAAAAAAAAATTTGTCAGGATATAATTGGATTAGCAATCCTAGCTTAATCTGTAAAATGTAAGTTCTTATTGTAGATTACACTGCGATAGTCACAGGTTTAAATCTCAGCTAAGGCATAAAACTAGATGATTTTTATAAGAATTTTATATGTAATTGAATATGTGAATATTTAGACTAATAAATATTAGATACTGATCAATTGATCTATTGATTGATATTAATCATATCTAAATACTGGGTTTAAAGAATATATAGATGTAAATGAAGTCAGAGATCAACAGAAACTTGGTTTTTGCTGATAAGTCTATAATAGATACTATCTCATGTCTTCAAATTCAGGACCCTTACATAAGTAAGAAAGTGATTAATTAGTAATTAGTAGATTTGAATTCATCATAAGAAAGTGTAATGCTTAAAGTAATAATAGATTGCATTGTACGTTGCAGTATCTTTTAAATCAAATCATTACTAGGATTAAAGGTTGGATTTAATTTCTAGGCGAATTTGATACTATAGATACAAAACTACTATCTATATAAAGAACCTGATTCCACAATCTCAGTAGTCATTAATAGGGTAAAATCCTATAAATTAGATTGATAAAAATAGAGCCTGACAAGCTTTATAGGTGAAGTGAGCCTTCTATCTAAAGGTGATATTATCTAATAAGGTCTAATAAGCCTTATGATATAAGAATAAACTGTTGCAAAATAGTCTATACTAGATGATAATCATATAGAAATATACTTCTAAGTGGGTTACTATACATTTTAAATAGTATCAGGAACTTAAAAAAATTACTTAACGTAAGATAACACTTTTCTAATTATGATATGCCCTCTACTAACTCTCTAGCTGCTATATATTAATAGTAAAAAAAAAAATTTTCAGGATATAATTCAAGATTTGAACTTTAAAATAAATACAAAATCATATTTCTAATATTTGTAATTGATGAGTTATAGCCATTCAAATGTAACTAATTACATTTGCATTTTTTTTATTGTCTATTGTAAGTTCAAATTTTTAATTTTCAATAATTTATTATATATTTATTTTAAAATAATAACTTATTTAAGTATATATTTTTATAATAAAATTATGATATAAATAATTTTAAATATACAGGTAACTTTGCTTGTAAATATTTGAAAAAATAATATTATATTTATTTTAGTTAATTATTAATTATCTTTCAATACTTTATTAATATTAAAATATAAATTTATAAAATTTATAAAAAAAAAAAAATAACTTTTATTTTTATATAAAATTTATTATATAAATATTTTTATTTTTTTTATAAATTATGAATTAATTTATATATTAAAATTACAAATTTAAACTTTTTTTTTTATAAATTTATCTTTTAATTTATTTATTTATAAATTTATAAGTAATTTTATTTATTAATTGAACTTATTTTTAATAAATATTTTTAAAATATGATATTAAAAATTAATATTTTATTATAAATTTTTAATATATTTTAATACTAATTAATTTTGATATTATTAAAATTAATTACATTAATTTAAATTTATTATAAATTATTAAAAAAATAATTATAACTGTCAAAATACAATTTAAGTAATAATTTATTAATTTATATTAAAGTATATTTTTTAAGTAAAATTAAAAAAAGTAATTAATTAATAATTTTTAAAAATAAATATATAACTAGAAAATGGTGACTGTTCTAGTTTAAAGCATAATTTCTGATAATATTTATAAAAAAATAATAATATATTAATTTTTTAGTATTTAATTTTTGTAAAATACATATGATATAATATTAGTAATATAACATTCTATTAGGTGGTTAATATATAAAACAAAATAATATTGCATTTAATATACCTAATATTTAATTATTTTTTATTATGCTTTAGACAATTATTTTTAATAAGATATAATAAATTAATAAATAAATATATATATTATATTATTAATCAGTATTAAATATATTATTTAATTCTATAAGAAATTTGTATACAAAAATTTATATGAAAATAATGCATTTTTTGATATTGTAAATGACGTTGTGATGGGTAAAATTTTAGATAGATTTAATTGATAGAATAGGAAGTCAATTTTATTGCCATGTAGATATAGATCATAGATGTCCATTTAGTTGCCTGCAGATCTGGCAACTTTATTGCCTAACAAAATAGCAACTTTATTTCCTTTGATATATTTAGTTTAGTTTATTTTATTATTTATTCAACATATATAAATATCCCTGTATTTTCTTTGAGACTCAGCACTGACAAGATAATAATCTTTTAGGTACTGAACTTATATTATATTAATAAAGGAGTATAATTAACTAAGTATAAAACTTATTCTTCGCAAACCCTTAGAAATTGTTATACATTATCTGTGATCCTTTGCATTCATGCAATCCTTTTTGTTAGATAACTTATTATATGATATTGTATTGATTCGCTGTATTGACTTGAAGTCTCTAAAGCATAATCTCTAAAATATTTTTGAGTTATCTTTGTGTTTATTTTGTATTTATCTCACATGTTTATTATTGAGAATAATCCTTCGACATTATTGTAAATCCTCACCTGTGATTCCTTGAGTAATTGTCTTAGTTTTATTTACTCCTTTTGAGATTTTATTTGAAGTTACGAAACCCAATGTAACAGTGTATAATATATATGTAATTATTACATATAAAAAATAAGGAAAAGATAGAATTATGATTATATAAAAATAAATAACTAAGTATATTATATATGTAATTTGTATATACAAAATTATGTAAATTATATATATTTTATCAATATATTTTATACATAATTTATATATATAATTTTTATATAATTTATATATAATTTTATATAATTAATTTATTATAATATTACCAAATTTATAATTTATTAATATATAATATAAAATTACTTTAATTTAAAATTTATTTATTTATTTATTGAATGAAATATAATGATAATAATAAAATACAAATATTTTATAATAATAATAATACTATTTAACATAATATAATATATATAAAAAAAGAAATAATAAGTAATATTTAAAATATTAGTTAATATTATATAAATATAGTAAATAAAATAATGATATTAGTAATAATATATAAATAAATAATAAAATAATGTAGTAAATAAAATAATGATATTAGTAATAATATATAAAAAATTAATAAATATAGTTAGTAAACTGTTAGTAATTAATAATATTAGAAAAATAATATTTAAAGAAATAAATATATTTGATAAAAGGAGAGAAAGAAGGAAAAAGAGAGAACAAAAAAAAGAGAGAACATAAAGAATAAAAGTATATAATAATTAATTTTAAACAATCAGATATATTTAGATAATTATATAATGTAAACAGATCATATAATTAGACAATTTGTAAGAACGTATAAATAAGTCAAAAAGCATAAAACAAGAATTGTAACAGACGAGTAGGAGGAGGAAAAAATAAAGATTTTTTATTGCAAACTTTTTATGAAATGCAAAGTGAACTTTACTCTTAATAAAAGTTTTTAAATTTATCATTAATTATTATAATTAAAATGCATATTTGAAAAAGAATAAAATTCTACATGAAAAATAGTAATAACATTAACTTGTCATTGTTATTTTTATAAAAATTTAATTTGACTTTTAACTCTAGCCCTAATCCTTATTCTAACATTTATTTGTAATTGATGTAATTTATTTTAATTCAAATTTTTTTATTTTTATTGATTATTTTTGATTTTAATTTTTTTTTTTAATTTTATTTTTAATTTTGTATTTATTATTTTATTATTTTTCTGTTAATTATTTTTTTTATATTTTTCGGTTAATTTTCAAAATTAAAAAAAAAGTCAGAAAAACATTTAAATTAAAATTGCGGCAGATTCTAATAATTAATTATTTTTAATTTGCATATATACTGTATACCCTCTATTTATTTGACCAATATGCTAACACCTAACCCTAAATAACCCTAACTAATTCTAACTATGACAAATAGATATACGTGACAAATAAGATTTTGCGACTCAAAAAAATACCAAGTCCCCTGAATAAAAAGTAAAAATAGAAACTTAAGGGGTGTGATACAATGTGACAAATATTTTATTATAATTCGTGCCTGAGGGTGCATCAAATGCACAGGTGCACCGTTTAAATTTTCCCTTAATTAATTTATTTTTATTTTTGAATTTAATTTATTTAGGGATTTCTCAGTATTGATTTAAATTGTTCATGGTTCATGCTCTCAATCACTAGCCAATTACGTTGGGGAAGATGCTTAGAACGCCTTTAATTTATTTCTAATATAAGGGATATACTACTATATTAGAAATATATATTTATTTGATTAATTTACAGGGTTAAACGCGAAAATACGTGACCGTTAATGATTTTATATGTTAGATTACATTCTGGATCAGTTTTAGTACAGATTTAGCTTTACACCACAAATTTTATTTGCATAAAATCGATTATGTTCGATTAATCAGAATCGAAAGTCGAATCTTAGAGTCGAATCTTAAGAAATGATAATTGCGATTAAATCAATTCTTAAATCAATTCTAAATATCGAAATTGATTCCAATCCCTATCCTAAACAGTTTGTTTTCTTATCTCACAAACCTCACCTCTGCGCTTTTTGTATAATTGGGACAAATATTACTAAAAGAGCAAAGACACTTGGATTGTAACCTTAAAATTCAAGTAAAAATATTCGAAGCACACTTTCAATTGGTGAAAATTATATAATTGTGACAATTAGCATTTTTCTCACAAAAATCCAAGTCCCAGAATACGAGATGTGACAAATTTGCTAATCCCCTTAACTAATCCTAATTCTACCCCAATCCTAAACCTAATCCAAACCCTAACTTTAATGCTAACTTTAATAATAAATATCCGGAAAATAAAATCCGGCTACCATTTTTTACGGTTTCGTCAACAATACACTGCTTTTCATTTATGCAATTCAATTTCAGTAGCATCAATGTTCCAATTACTGTAACTCTTAATATTAATTTTTGTTTATTATTTATTCAACATTGATAAGCATACATAAGTAATTCATACAATTTATTTGCGTCCTTTTGATTGGATTAGATGAAACACAGAATATGACATTAGGTGTTATGTAAAAAGTCTTTTACATGAAGTGACAAAATTATTACTGTATGACGATTATTTTGGGTGGTACTGAGCCATATGAAGGAATGATTGGTTGAACGTTTGACGGTTTATTGTGGAATGTTCGTTCGTATATGAAATATGATATTGCGTGTCCAATTCCTCCGATATTAACGGCTAAAAAAAAAAAAAAAAAAAAAAAAAAAAAATAGGAATTTAATTAATTTCAAATTTACCGCATCGAAAATTACTTTATCTATCAAATGCTTACCGATTGCCAAAAGAATATTCAAAAAGAATAAGTCGTTATTTCCAACTAACTTGGCGAAATTATAAAATAATAACAAAAACTTTTAAAAAAAAAATAAATTGTCCTTTAGTATATAATAAATTTTTTTTTTTAAAAGAAAATAAAAAGTTGATTGCTTACCCATTGAAGTAAATAAGGAATAATGATACAAAATATGATAACTCTTAGAACGTCAGGATTCATATTATCACAAATTTCAATTTTTTTATTAAGAAGTTCATGTAAAGTAACCTTTCGCAAATTTTTTTTTAATTCAAAAACGTAATAAATTGTGATTATAAGAATCGAAGATATTAAAGCGACATTTAAATAACTTTCTAATCCTGTATCAATTCTAATAGCATATCTGTTTATACAAATGGAAAGGATAATTAATTGGATTCATGATGATTAATGATATGTTTGAAGGATAATAAGACAAACCTTATTTCCAATTGCTCATAACGATTAATTCCAAAGATGGAAGCAACCCAAGATGATAAAACAATTCCGTTCCATAGATAACCGTCATATTTTCCGTTTTCAGGTTCAATTTTTTTATTTGAAAATTCCAAGAAGCTAATTAATAATAAATTTATATTTAAAAACGTAGGGGAACATTTTCCGAGAATTCCGCTCATAATTCGAGAGATTGAGGAATTATTTATCAGGAGATTTGCAATTTGCATTAGAGCATACATAAAATCTAAAGTGAAGAACGACGCCGAAATGAGATATGCGGTTTCGAAAAAGAGTGGAGTTATATACTGTACTTACATGATATACAAAAATAAAGTGGATATTTGATATCGGAAGTGATGGTTCCATTTCGTTGATATAAGGAATATAATCGAACTAGAACATACGAACACGCTACGATATTGACGAAAGTAGCAACTAAAATGATTGTGGATTCTATTTGCATTTTTTTTTTTTTTTTTTTTTTTTTTTTTAAAAAAAAAAAAAATAAGCTTAATGTAATAAAAGAAAGTGTAGGAGTTTGAAAAAGGAAGAAAGAGTTATTTCCGCTTTATGGTTTAATACACTAAATCTCTTCCTTATGTATAAAAAAAAAAGGACGATATGCAATTTCGGTTTCTACCGGGGGGGGGACAAAAATATTGCACGGCTTAAAAATAAAAATTTAAATGTTTTATAAGTTACTAGTCATGTGATTTTTATGCCGAATAGATTAGCAGTTGCTTTAAAGGGATATTTGTTTATTGTTTTGATTAAATGTGTAGCAATTAATAAATTCACTTTTTAAAA